CTAAAGTTCACTCTGTTACTCACCTTTTCAGGTTAAAGAATCATACCAGTGCATCTATCGATATCAGTAAGGGAGTTCTTCCGGCGTTGTTTGCAGAGTATGGTACAGGTGATTAGGGGGCATGTAGGTTGTATTTTGTTATATCCGAGTCTAAAAATCTGTGTTATTTCGGATTACTGAGAAATTTTACTTTTGTATTTATAAATCATTTATGAGTTTATATGTTTAATAAAAGTTTTAAATTTTTCGAGATTTTTACGGTGGGTAGCTCCGGTGGCCCTAATGTGACACTTCAGATCGGATCGGGTCACCCACATCGGTCTGTGGGTCTACATTTCGTTGAACACTTCATACAATACAGATCGAAACACCATTTACTAGTATTATCGATGAAGACCGAGAAACCGATATTATGTCGATCAGAACCTCTCCTTGCCTATACCGATCCAGGATTGCCCAACCCCGGAACAACACTGCCCACTTACCTTGCTTGCCAACTCTCCTCCTATCATATATAGCTTGCGCCAGCGTCGAACGACGACCATAACCGCTATTTCTCCTCTCAAGCTCCACGACGCTTCGTCTCCTATGCGTTTATTTGTTTTAATGAAAGTTCAAGGTCTTTTGATATATTCGTAAAGTTCAAGAACCAAATTTTAAAGAATACAACTATTGGATTTTTTAATGGCATTTATTCCATATACTTTTGTTAGCCGATTATGATGGAAAAATCGAGAAATATCGTAAGTTCATATTAGGTGAGTGTAATCCGAGGAATTTATATTTGTGTAGGTAGGTTGTGTAAAATGTCTAATACTTAAATTTTAGCTCAATTCGAGCATTCAACTAACATGTGATTCGATAACATAAGTTATGGTGCTTTTGCAATGAAACTATAATGATATCTGAACATGCTAACTTTTGTGTGTGATACGTAAATTGTGGTATCGTTGTGAAATATGTTAAATATTATGTATGATTTGTAAAATCGAGCTAAATACTCCATTTGATATTGATAATAAGTTGTGTACTAATTCGATAAGGAAAAATGATAATTTTTATTCTTTGGTAATGTGTTAAAATAATTCATTAATTATTAGTTTAGTTCTAGGTATAATTCGTTTATTTATCAATGAGTCATTGATAATAAGCAAGTGACGATCGAATTGGAGGAAGACACTGGAGTATGTAATAAGATAAATATTTAATGATGCAGTTTTTGCTTTATTTATTAGTAAATTTAAGGAAACGGAAACTAAACCACTTATGGTGTTTTTGGATAAAAAATTGTAGCCCATCTATTAACGGGTTTATTCAGGTTGTAAGGAACTTGACATCGCTTAAGGAGTTTTCGGATTTGAGATCTTGTGTATGCAGAAAATCTCTACTAAGAGACTATCATCAAAAATTATGTGTGCGACACCGATCGATAAGAATTAATCAGGGTGTTCTTGCTGACATCGATACCAATTTTACAGTTATATCGAAAGCATTGGATGAACACGGGGATTCCACCGAACTTTACTTGTTCAAATGGACAACCCTTCTCATCCCACCAACGACTCTCCTTATAATAAATTTACTTGGGGTTGTTGCATGAATTTCTTACGCCATCAACAGTGGTTATCAATCATGGGGTCCTGTCTTGGTAAGTTATTCTTTGCCTTCTGGGTGATCATCCATCTCTACCCCTTCCTGAAGGGTCTGATGGAACGACAAAATCGGACATCGTTGCTGTGATCGATTCTGCTCGCCTCCATTTTCTCGTTGCTATGGGTGTGGATCGATCCCTTCACCATTAGAGTTACCGGGGCCAGATGCAACTGTGTGGAGTCAATTGTTGATTTCTTAACAGGCTGGGAATAGGAAAGGTGAGAATGAATTATGATATTCTCTTTGTCTTTAATTATATTATGTGCAATATAGGTAGTAGGATATAAATACGAGCAAGATAGTGTCATCTTTTTAATGTTACAAGTTTGTTTATATAAGACAGAATATATATTATTTTGTACAATTAGTAAACCGATGAATTAATCGATTAATTTAAATTAAATATTATAAATGTATATTTTTATTAAAATTTATAACAAAATAATCTTGAAATTTTGAATTTTAACGCTTCATTATCAAATCAAATTCAAATGAATTTAAGTATCTTATAATAGCTTCATTTTCATATGCTTGCAAGTTAAATTTTCATATTGAAATAAAGCTCAATATCGAATTAAATTACATTATCTCAATCAAATTTATACCTTGAACTATATATTTAGATGTTACATTTAAAAAAATATAATATTAAATACATCATAAAATACAGTATTAAACACATTGAATATTAAAAAATATTTAAATATATGTAAACAATATTTAAATATATGTAAACAATATTTAAATATTAAGTAATATTAAAATAAAAATATTTAAAAATTTTACAACCCGTATAATTAGTTATCTGATTAATAAGGGTAAAGTACACAAATAGTCCATTGACTATAGGAGATTGTTTTGTTAAGTCTTCCGACTATTAAAAGTTACAAAATGATCCTCAACTATAGGAGTTACTTTGTTGAGTCCCTTGACTATTAAAATTTACAAAATGGTCACTTGCTATTCATTATGTCTAAACTCGTCCTTCCATTAAAAATTAACGATAGTTTAAGTTGAACATTAATCTGCTGACTGAGATATGATAAATTTGATCTCATAATCTCAAAAGACTATATATCTTATTCAGCATGTTAACGTCCATCTCGGATGATTGTTAATCTTTAACGGAAAATGACGAATTTGAAACAATGAATAATTGAGTGACCATTTTGTAAGTTCTAATAGTTAATGGACTCAACAAAGTAACTCCCTATAGTCGAGAAATTATTTATAACTTTTAATAGTCAAAGGATCAGCAAAATAATATCTTATAGTCGAGGATCATTTGTGTACTTTACTCTTAAAAATACAATAAATACCTTAATATGAAAAAAATATTAGTTAAGTGTAATTTTATCTAAAGTGGTAGGAATTGACAAATATCTATAAAATGTATGAAAATGACATATCCATATCATTGTTGATAATATTCTTTTATCTTACGAAAATAAGAGTATAAGCATTTGTATTTGGATTGATAAGTGGGTAGAAAAAAAAACATTTTTTCATGAACAATAATGATAAATCTTTTTAATAAACTACACTAATGTATCTAACTGGAAGGTGCTTTCACTTTGATCATAAATAAATAAATAAAATTCAATAGTCACAACAATTTAGAGAAAAAAATATTTAGGTTATTCGATCGTTAAACCATTAACGAAAAACTGTGTTATATATTAGAAAACCTTTAAAATGATATTTTCACTCCTTTTACCGTTGTTCAATGGTTTCTCCAATCGAATAGATCATCGAACTACACTCTTCTCATTTTTTTCTTTTCTTGATTAAAAACGAAGAAAAAACCTTTTAATCTCTTCAAACATCAATCAAAACTAAAAACTAAAATATTCAAATCTATCACTATAAGTTGGAACATCAACTTGAAATCGAACTATGTTAATCTGCTCAACAAAGTCTTTCCATAGTTGGAATTGATCGAAGATTGTTCATTAATCTTAAAAAAACTTAATCTTTACGAAAAATTGTCAATTTGGTGTCTTAGATTTTTTTAAATAAAGAATTTAAAATGATGATCGTAATTAAAACAAATTCAAAGTTAATGATAGTAATATAAGTGTTAAAGTTATGTGACTAAAAAGAAATATTCCTAAAAGTTTAGTGACTGTCGTAGTTTATCCTAAATTTACTGAGTTTGCTCATTTTTAAAATACAGGAATGAAATTGCAGCCCTAAGGTATATAACAGGCGCGCAGACAAATGAAACTCCAAAGAGAAGCGGTTTCAGGTCAAGTTCACCTCTTTGAACCGACACAAAACGTGTCCGTGGCCGTTAAAAGTTGCAATCTCCCAATTCGTAAGGTTTGTAGCAAACCCTTTTTCAAGTCATTCTCCTTGGCTCAAATTAACGTGCTCTGTATTGAGGTATTTCAGCTCACTTACTACTTGCTGATATGTGTTCTCTTCTATCTTCTCTGATTTCATTTTCTTATTATTCGATTCTTTTAAAACAAGTCTATTTAGTTTGAGTATTTAAAGTTAGTTGCTCTTTTTTCTCCTCCAAAGCATGGTGCTGAAGACGCTTCAATGGTGGCCTATCCCACGGCAGAAAACTTTTTGGTGAATTTCACTCTGGGTATTAATGGGTATTTGGCCTTATTCAAAATCATGTTTTGTTCAATGCGGTTTACTTCGACAAATTGTTGCTCACCACAAGAATGTCTTTTACGGTATATTATGCTTCTTCATCTGCATTGTTGTTGGAGAGCGTGACTTTGAACGCTTCCTAAATTGAAAGTGATAGTAATGAGTTGGGGAAGTTCATGTTCCGAATAAGAAGTTCAAATTTTGTAGAAACCCCAGGCTTTTTCCCAGTGTTAGGGTATTTAAGTCCTTGAATTGGTTCACTGCAAGGAAAAAAGTTTTCATAATGCTGTAGAGATGTATGGATTTGATCATTCAATATATGTTTCGGATCATTGTTCATATATTTGCTATGACAGGGATGCAGATGGAAGCACATGCTTTGCTTAGAGATATTGTTTGCTTACAGACTAGCTAAGAATGATATGCTTGAATTATTACCGTATCTATTAGATTCGCCTGAGCATGTCCATAGATCAGCTGACATTCAATGTGCTCATCAAGGTGTTTGCATCCAATTTGATGCTTGATAATGGTGTAGACGTTTTGTGCAGGCTAAAGCAATTGGGCTTGAGCTAAGTATTAAGTCAGCAACTTCTTGCTTAGTTTTAGTTGAAGAACAGAGGAGAATTTGTGAGAAGTGTGTTGGAGAAATGAAAAAACTGGGCCATCACCTAATGTTTACACCTATACGATTATGATGAACTTTTATTGCAAAGGATATCATGGGAGGGGTGTTGCTTAAGTGTTTAGTTGAAGAAAACAGAGGAGAATTTGTGAGAAGTTTGTTTGGAGAAATGAAAAACTCTGGGCCATCACCTAATGTTTACACCTACGATTATGATGAACTTTTATTGCAAAGGATATCATGGGAGGGGTGTAGACATCGAACAAGCAACAAAACTTATGGAGGATATGGAGGGAGATGGGATAAACCCATCTGTTGTAACATACAGTACATATATTTATGGGGTATGTAGTGTTGGTCATGTTGAATTTGCTCTAGATTTCATTCAGTTTTGAGATCTAGAAACCAGCCTATCAATAGCTTCTGTTATAATGCTGTTATGTATGGGCTTTGCCAAAAGGTGAGCCGTATGAAGCATCAAAAGTTTTGGAAGAAATGAAGAATTCTGGGATATCACCAGATGCTCATAGCTATGGCATTTTGGTCGATGGGTTTTGTAAACGAGGTGATTCTGTGAAAGGTCTAAGTTTGATTGAGGAGATGGTACATAATGACATGAAGCCTTCGCTTGTTACTTATACATCATTGTTTGATGGGCTCTGTAAGAGCGGACTGGCAGATGTTTCACTGAATATGTTCCGTAATCTTGCTACCTCCGGATATGAATATGACCTGGTTGCTTACAGTGTCTTGCTCAAGGGCTTTTGTCTTCAAGGGGATCTAGATTCTGCCATGGAACTTTTTAATGAGATGATCAACAATAGCTTAATTCCTACTGCCAACAGTTTCAACTGGTTGATTCATGGATTCTGTAAGATGAGGCTCTTGGATAAAGCCTTGGAACTCTTCAACATCATGCTGCAAAGTGATGTCTTACCTACTGTCTTCACTTTCAATGTAATTGTCGATGGGTATTGCAATGCGGGTCATATGGAGGAAGCTTTGAAACTGATAAATGAAATGCATGAGTTTGGCATTTTTCCCAACACTTATACATATAATGGATTTATTAAGAGGCTTTGCAAGCAAAGCAGCATAGACAAAGCTTGGGAACTTCTTCCCCAAATGCTTAAAATGGACACTCTTCATGATGTTCATTGTAACATCCTATTAGATGGATTTGCTAAACAGTTGAGCTTAAAGAAGACCTTGATGTTGTACACTAGAATGTTAAAGTTTGGGGTCACACCAACTACTTTTACATATACAATTCTTATCAACATATTCTGCCAGAGCAGAGACATGCATGAAGCATGGAATTTGTTTAAGGACATGTTGGAAAGGGGCTTGATTCCTGATACTATTTCTTATACATCTGTTATAGCTGGATTTTGTAGAGTTGGGGATATGAGGAAGGCTTGGGCTTTATATAGGGAATTGGTGCAAAGAGGATATTCTCCCAATGTTGTTACCTACACCTGTCTAATAGATGGATTTTGCAATGTACATTGTATGGATATGGCCAACTTGTTAATTGATGAAATGAAAAAACGAGATATCAACCCAGATGTGGTGACTTATACCGCTCTAATTGCTGGGTATCAAAGACTTGGTGATATTAATAGAGCACAGGAGTTGTTCTCTGAAATGAAAGGGAACGGTATTTTGCTTGACTATGCTGCCTATTGTACAATGGGAATGGATACTAACATGGCTTCATATGATTAGAAAATTGAGGAAACGATGAAAGAACGGAATGGTAAGTCACTGGCTTCTTCTCAATATTAGAATTATCTGAAAAATTTTAACTTTACAAAATTTCTTTGAAAGAATGGAATGGATCTTAAATCTTCTATGTTAGTGCGATAGAATCATCTTTTATAAGGAGTAATGATTTGTTGCTAATGATAGACTCACAATAGAATTTGAAATAATATTACGTTTACCTTTGTATGAATGTGCACTTTGTGTTACACATTTACTCAAGAGTCACTTTTGGCTTTGTTTTATTTTATTTTATTTTTGATAATAATTGTGCAGGTTAAGTGATTTGTCATGGTCCTGGCACATGAATGACTTTTTCGGCTCAATCATGTTTCCTTAATGTTAGTATAAGCTTTTTTATATGAATGCATTTAGCATTGATAGTCAATGTTCTAGGCAAATTTCATAGGTTGTGCATGACACTTCTGTTTCTGCTACACCTACACAATCTGCAGATTTCGTGGGTAAATGCTGAAAAGGTTGGCATAAAATTGATCTCCTTCCATTAGAGAGGTATGAGTATGACTAAAACATCAATTTTCTTGTTAAATTTATTGCTAGTTATTTCATATACAACTAAGGGTGCGTTTGGTTCACGGAATGTAAGATTACTAGTGGGAATGTAAAATTACCAGGAAATAGGATTACAGGGAATATTATATTTTATGTTTGGTTGGCTTAGCAGGAATGTAAGATTACCGTGTTTGGTTAAAGGAATAAAAGATTATTGAAATGTATATTTGACCAAATTGTCCTTATTATATATTTGTATAATATTACAAGTTGGAAAATATTTATATATTTTATTTAAAAATTTAAATTCATAATATTTATATATATTTTTACAAAATTAAAAATATAAAAAGGTTTAATGAAAGGGTAAAATTTTATTTTAACCCCTGAACTTCATATAAAATTTTAATTATATACTTTTTTTTTGTAAATCTATAATAATTTAAGGATAAATTTGTAATTTAACCTTCGTAGAATTTTTATTATTTAATGACAGAAGAATGATGTTTTGAAAAAAAATAAAAAATTAAGGACATTTTAGTCCAAAACACCGGTAATCCAATAATACCTAAGGAAAGGGAGATAATGACATTCCCGGTAATATACCCAAAAAAATCCACTATTAGTAATCTTACATTACCGGGAATGGGATTCCCGGGCTAACCAAACGTGGGAATGTGGATTCCATTCCCATGGGAATCCAACATTCCCCCATCCAAACACCCCCTAAGGCTTTTACAATCAGATGACATTAAATGTTTTAGTTTGTGTTTTTTAGAATATTTATTCTGTTGAAAAAGTTTGGAGAATGATTTTTCTTGCTGCTTGATTTATTTACTTTATGCTTATTTTTCTCTATGCTTCGTAGGAAAAGTATTCCGGAATATGTTGGCAATCAAAACTCAGTAATTAGACCCTAAATGGTTATCATGTGTCAGCTTTTTGTAGAACATACTAGCAATAGAATTCCTTTTGACACATCGTATATACTATGTAAAATTATATTTAAACTTGAAGGGTGTGGATGGCATTTGAGGACCTGTTTATGTCAGGTACGGGATGGTCTTCATTGTGTTTGCTTTATGTGGATATGAACCCCCAAGCATAGAAAAGCAGGGAAGCGGGTCTTCATCACTCTCTACGGGTTCTCAGAAGGAGAGATCAAAATCAAGTAAAAAAGGACCAGCCAAGACGAAATCTGGCAAGACTGTTGATCCTCTTGTGCCAGTATTCAGTATAAATGATATAAAGGAGTGTGTTGAAGGTAAACTAATCACTTTCTTGTTTTTGAGTTAAAGCGGTGATTATTTGTTTCATGCCTGTTGACCTAATGAGGAAAAGTTCCATCAATATCCTGCATTGCGATTTGTGAAATTAGGTGCTGAGTTTAATGATGAAAAGCCACTACTAGTTTCTCAAATGAGCAGGAGAAACCTTGGTCAGTCTGGCAGCTTTTGTTGCCTCTGCACTTCCGGAGAATGGTGGTGTTCCTCTGTCTTCTATGCCAGAAGCACATCTTAAGGAAGCAATTGATGTTATCAGCTATGAATATGAGGACAAAACAATCTGGTGAAGTGAGGTAAGTTCTTCTCTCCCATTTTCCCTGAACCTGAAATGTTCAAAATAGTGAGATTACTTTACACGTAAGATTGATTGCTGGATTTCACTGTTATTGAGCTTATGTTAGTAACATACTTGAATTATTTAAAAATTATTGTTTTCGGGGTTTAGAAGAAAAGAAAGAGTATGGTATATAACCAATAAATTATTGCAGATGAATCTAAGCTTGTTTTTGGTGCTCCTATATCAGTGACTGTATTTAACTCGGTTTTGAATTTTATAAATATGTTGCGATCTGGGAAGGTGGAAGCTGATCAAATGCTTGCTTTTATTCCATTCTAAATTTCAATTTTTGTTGTGTACAGGGTTGTCTCTAGTCCTCTCTGCGTGTATTTTTGTTTCATCTTGTTAAATCTTTCCCTTCATTCTGCCATAATGGAGTTAAATTTTCATTGTTTTCAGTGCCTGCAGATTGGATGGATCTATGGTTCTGTTACAGAAGATATTACTACAGGACTCAAAATGCATGCCTATGGTTGGTAGTCATTTTTGTACATGCCAAAACGACCAGCCTTTTAAGAGTCTGCTCCTATTAATCTTTCAGATTGTCTGAACCAAGTGCTTGACGGGTCCTTGGTTCTGTGGAAATTCTTTTAAGTAGGCATTGCATATCTCATATGGTTATGGTGATAGGCTGAAGTTAGCTTGAACGGTTCGCATATGTTAACACTACCATCTACCGGTCACTGCTTCCTCTTCTCATGTATTGCACATTGCCTGCTGTCTGCTTGCTAACAAGTCCATCATCCTACAGGTTAGTCTCTTCTACATAATCCATGTTTCGTTCGCATGTATGCACATAGACTTATCAGTTGGTTGGGTATTGACAGTAACTTCACTGTTACCTCGAAAACATTCGATGAACACTCAGATTTTGCTGAACTTTACATGTTCTAATGAACACCCTTCTCATCCCACCATCCAATCTCCTTATCATAAACTTGGTTTGGGTTGTTGTAGGAATCTTCTATACCATCAACAGTGGTTATCAATCATGGGGTCTCTCTTTGGTAAGTTTTTTCACCTTCAAGGCGATCCATCTACACCTTCCTGAAGGCTCCAACGGGGCAGCAAAACGGACACCGACCGGTGTGCCATATATATAGGCCGTATGGTTGCAGCATCTGGAAAACACTGCTATTTATTCAAGTATATAGACACATGTTTGAGTGTAGAAGCAAATTGGAGTCTATCATTCTATTTCATAAAATTACAAGTTAGTACCAGAGGTTTTCCTTTAGAAAAGATACCAAAAATATGGAAATTTTCCTCTGGATTGTAAGGAAACAAGATTCATTAATCCATTGCATTACATTACATTACAGGGCCAAGGCAAATGATGCGAGCAATGCCTTAAATGTTTACCAGTAGATTTACAACAATACGTACAAATATACGTACGTATAACATCTATGGTCTGCAAATGTCCACGTGTTCACCCCACATCCATTGCATGACGTGTAATTCATCAATTATCGTTATCCATCTTGAATTCCTGGCAATATCGCTATCGTCCCCATACCTCAAACACGTGCAACATTTTAGTGGTGACACTTGTGCAGTTTGCTAGGATGCTCCCACGTGTAATCATCCATCCAATACGTATACAGTCTTTATTAATATTTTCTTACATTATATATCATCGCTGTTGGTTTAAGACACATCTCGAGCTAGTTCTCTCCTGGTCACCAAGTTCATCAAACTTCATTTCTCGTGAACTCAGAAACATAAACCTAATCTCGATGGGTATCATCGGTGAAGAACCGGTTCTGTCTAGACTAGATCGGTTAGACAACCTGGTATGGTGTTTTGGTTTCCCATTTGCATGCATGCTGCGTTAGATTATTTACTTATTTGACGATGTTTTATTGTCGAGGGAAATCTCTTTGATTCCTTCAAATATGGAAATAAAAATTTTAAAGTGTCCTTCAAATATGGAAATAAAAATTTTAAAGTGTCGTTCGGACCTGACTGTCACCGGAGATTCTCCTAACGTTAATACGGTGTTGATGATCACAGCTAAGGCAGTTGGAGGAAATGAGAGGGAGCAATAATAATGGCCAATACTTGAGGTCTTCCAGCCCAAGGAGCTCTAGTGCATCGACACCTTCAAGTGGAACGTTGGCCAGCACATGCACCGACGGTCATCCGTCGTCGGTCGATTTCTCGCCTACGGCTAAGAGTCTGGAGAAGTACTGCCGTCCCATGGATGTGATGGTGGAGACTCAGGTCAAAGGAACGCTCATTCAGCGGCTGGACCAAGCAGAGGACCGCTTACTAAAGGTGCGTATATCTTCATCTCATAAGATCCTACGTCTATCCCTGATTCGAGTGGTGGGTTAAATTAAAGTATCTAATCTGAGGATGATGATGTTTTTGAATCAGCTGTGTGTGCAGTTGGAGGAAGAATTAGAAGAGAAGAGGCAAGCGGCTAATGTGGAGAAGGGACAGAAGAAAGGAATCAAGCACTTTGAAACAATGCGTCATTGGGAAACACTCGCAACCCAAACGTGCAGAATGGAAAGTAGGCAAAGATGGTTCAAAAATAAAGTAAAAAAACAATGTATTTATCATGCATAAAAGTAGATATTAATATATTTTCCTTGCTCTTTAAGATGGGTGGAGTTTAAATCAGTTACTTTTGAGTATTTTTCTTTTGTCCGATAGAGTTATAAAATAATATTTATTTAAAAATTCTTAATTCATTGGGGTTGGAACGTTGAAAGGTGTGATGCGAGTATCAAATGGGACCATATAGTGATAAGATGGGTGAGAGCATGCAGGCAGGGTTTTGAGATACCATGTGGCTATAAATCTTACCACACATTAAGCACAGTGCCAATTCACAGCATATGACATATCTTACTGCACATTAACAAAATCCAACAAGACTTGACCTAAATTTCTGCATATTCCTCTCCAGCTGTTATTTTTGACAGTGTACTAAAATCTTTTATCTTCTTCAACTTCTAAAACAATATCCAACAATTATCACCGGAATTTCCAGTCAACACTATTGAATCATCCATCCAGTGACTATAAATGAAAATATGCTTCAACTAATATCATTAATCAGAATTTTCCCACAATGTGCTTTAATTGTGTCATTAATAGTGTTATTGGTTATTGTTTGAATCATTATCATGTGCATACAACCACATCAATATCATATGAAATATTCATCCATATGGAATGGGTTAAATACGACATGATTTAGGATATGTATATGTCAGCACATACATCCAAGCTGACAAAAATACACATTTTAAAAAATATAAAACAATAAAGAAACACGATTCGATTATTTTATAGAGGTAAATAGTAAATTTATTGTTAAAAAGTAAGAATTGAGGTTACATAAGCATTTTATAGTGGTAGAATTTGATCAAAATGGATTTAACTAAAGGAGTAATTGAAGAAATACGATTATTTAAAATTGAGGGATTGGATTGAACAATAATCAATTATATGTATTTATATAGCATTTCATCATGTGATTTATATTTGGTAAGAGAATAAACTTGAAATGAAGAAACATGATTAACTCATATAGTGATTTATACACATATTTGATAATTTATAATAGCTGGCAAAATTATGGATCAAATCACAAAAATTATCAAATTATTTAGCTAAACTTTTTGTTTTATTATAAATTTTGCAAATTAAATCAAATATGAGTTTACTAAATGATTTGAACAAAATCATAGATGGTAAAAAAAAATCAGATATCGATTTATCAACAAGTTTCTTCAAGTAATAACTCGAGAAAATATCTAATTCAATTACTTTATATATATATATATATATATAAGCCTAAAATTTTAGTCTTTCCACACCATAAATTTCAAATAAATAAAAAAAATTATATAATATTTTCAAATTATTTTCATTAACATAAACTTAAATAATTTAAGTTAATACCTAAGCATTTTTTATTCTTAATATTTAAACTCTAATTTTCCAGGTATTTAATTTCTAATTTATCTACTATTCTTTATATTTTATTGTCAACCTTATATATTTTACAATTAACTTTCGATGATGTGATAATATAAATTATAAAAAAATTAATAATGATTATTTGTTAAGTATTAAGAATGTACCTAATTCAGATTTTTTTAAAAAAAATTAAGTATTAAATTAGGAGAAAATGTCTAATTTAATCTACTCCCCGGTTCTCTAAATTTGAATTATTTAAGCAGAAATAAACCTCTCACAGTGGAGCTTTTTCATCACCATCTAAACAACCATTTTCCTTTTATGGAAGTAAAAAAGAAAGAAAAATAAAAGGTTTAAGCACCACCAGATCCGTACTTCTTTCCGAACACAATGAGCTGCAGCTTGTCATATCCAGCAAGCACACCAGCACCAGCAATAGCACGAAGGATGTTAGCCCCGGCACCTTTAAACAGAGACTTCGCACCCTCATTTTTCAAGATCTGAGCGAATGCATCGAGCGAGCTCTTGTATTTGACTGCTTCACCCGAAGTCATCATCATTCTTCTACGAACAGTGTCGATCGGATAAGATGCAAGGCCAGCACCATTCGTGATGAGCCAACCAAGAGCAAAGCTAGCAAAGAAACTATTCATGATGGGCAAAAGAGAGCAAAATGTCAGAACTTACTACCATTGATTAACAAAAAAGGGCATAAACATAACATAAATTTAGACATCATACTATAACCTGCAAATTTCCGGTCAAACCACAGGCTTCAGAGAGTCGTACATTCCAAAGTACAGACCACGATAAACGATGATTCCAAACACATGAAATATTGAAACCACGGTAAAGACCGGCAATACCGTTGATTTAAGGTCTTCTTGTAGACATCAACAAGGCCATTGAACTGCCTCTCCCCTCCCTTCTTTGCAGCCTTTGCATCATTGGCAAGACGGGTTCGAGCATAATCCAAGGAGTAGACAAAGAGAAGGGAAGAAGCACCAGCTGCACCTCCAGATGCCAAGTTTCCGGCAAACCACTTCCAGTAACCATCTTTGTCTTTCTTAAAGTTGAAAAGCCTCTTAAAGTAATCCTTGAAAGCAAATTCAAGGCCTGTTGCAAAATGAGCAAAACAAAAAGCATAAAACACAGGAGCAATAATCAATATTCAACAACAAAACCAAAGAGATGAAATAAAGCTACAAACCTGGGTGGGGAAAATAACGGATGACATTAGCAGTGTTTCCTCTCCACAAAGAAACAAATCCTTCATCTTTGATTGTTCGCTTGAAACAATCACCAATACCTTTGTAGGGCTGAGAGAGCCTACCAGTTTTGAGCATTTCATCCTGGTTCTGAATCAAAAGCTTAACACGCTCAATTGGAGCAGCAGCTGTTTTAGATACAGCAGCAGAAACACACCCATGAGGAAATCAATAGCAAAGCCGGTAAATCCTTTCTCTGAAGGAGCTTGAACACAAATGGCAGATGCTGTTGATGGAACAATGTGCATGTCACTGATGGTTCCACAAGCATGAGCAACAGGATAGCCCAATGCAGCATTGGAGTAGTTCCCATATGCAAATTTCCTTGGTATGCAGTAGGCCTCCTAAAAGATCCATCATAAAACTTGAACATCCGAGAGAGGCTAGAAGAAAGGAGTGACCTGCTACTTTCTGCATGACAGTTGGGTGTTTAATGTGATCCATTTCAATTCCCTGCAAGAATGCAAATGAGCGCATAAACAAAGAGTACAACAAAAAGAGAATAAATAGAAATGTGTTTCACAAAAATTAGGCAAAATCATCTACAAACATAACATTGATTCAATTCATCCATGTCAGCTACAGCAACAAGTAAACAATGCCTTTGTAACAAGTAAAAGGCAAAGGAACAACAAAGTAAATTGACATGATATCCTGCAGGTGTATCGCACTCTGTTCAAGCAGAAGAAAAGATACTCATCAATTCAGTAACTTAATCATCACATCAATTTCAAGCAGAAGGCAAGTAATAAATACCATCAGAGGAAAACAAGAAAGTAAACAATATACTGAAACGCACTGCCAATCAAATTATCCTCCTAAACAATCCTCCAAATGACGAATGGATCAGGTAATCCAGCATGTATATAGATGGTTATGCTATTACACCATCCAATATCAACGAAGTTACATACACAATATAAAAAATAAAAAAATTTCACCTGATCTACCATATCCATATGCACGCAAGTACTTCAACATGCAATCCAATAAACAATACTACATATTTTGAAAACGCAGATGCAGTACCGTAAACAAATTCAATCAACAGATCTGAAGAATCCAAACAGTAAGCGAAGGAATAAACACCAGTCTGACAGATTTCTACACCACTGATTTGCAATAAAAGAGAAAAGAGCAGTAAATTGCGATAGTTACCGAAAGAAACCTACATTTATTCCAAAGCATTTCGAACTAAAAGGAAAAAAAATAAACAGATCTAAAATCACATACAGTAAAGTAAAACTAGAGTAAGCATATAACTAATAAATAAGTAAAAGCCAAAATGAAGAACATTGGATCTGACATTTTAGCATAATTTTAGAGTGATAATATTTACCTCTTAGAAGAGCGTGTGAGAGAATTGTTGAAGTGACTCCGCCTCTAACTCTGCGTCGAAAAGAAAGGAAGGCAGAGAAAGATACTTCTCCAGTGTTTTGTTGCGGAGGGGAGAGGCGAGGGTTTGAAGAGAGCTCTTTTTCCCCATTTTATTGTTGTGTGGATGGCCGAGGCCCATATATGTATTTTTAGGGTAAACTATCTCATTACTCACTTAATTGTAATTTGAGTATTGATTTGATTATTAAACTTTAAAATACTTCAATTTTAGTACTAATCTTTTTACATTGATTTTTTTGTCCTTAAACTGTTAAATCATTAAACTATGGATAACATGACATATTCGTGAAAGATAAAAAAATATTTTTTATTTTACCTTTTTATCATCTTCATGAAAATTAAAGGTTTTTCATTATTTTAGTTGTTGTTAAAAACTATTATTTTTAGACGTCCTTTTTAGTCACTTTAGACACTAATAAATTTATCTCATCAAATTATATATATCACTTTATCAGTTTATATATTTTTTTTTCTAAATACCTCTGACACACAAAATTATAAAAATTTCATCATTTTAGAGGGTTTGTAGATATTCTTATATTTGAAAGATTTGAGTGTTTGTTTGAAAATACAAACGATGTGTTTGGTTCACAGAATATAAGATTACTAGGGAATAGGATTACTGGGAATGTTGTATTTTGTGTTTGGTTTGTTTAGCAGGAATATAAGATTATCGTGTTTGGTTAAAGGAATAAAAGATTATTGGAATGTATATTTGACAAAATTGTCCTTATTATATATTTATTTTTTTAACAAGTTGGAAAATATTTATATAATATTTATATAATTTCTTTAAAAAAATCGAATTCATAAAATTTATATATATATTTTTTTTACAAAATTGAAAATATAAAAAGGTTTAATGAAAAGGTAAAATTTTATTTGAACCCCTGAACTTCATATAAAATTTTAATTATAGACTTTTTTTTTGTAAATCTAAAATATTTTAAGGATAAATTTGTAATTTAACCTTCGT